AGCCTGTAGTCTAGACATAGCCTAAGGGGGATATGATAGCAGTCTATACAATCATGACTGGTGTGGAAAAAGTGAACAAGGAAAAGTTATTTACTTGTTCCCATAACATAAGAACTAGAGGTCACAAAATGAAATTAATAGGTAGCAGGTTTAAAACAAACAAAAGGAAGTTTTTCTTCACACAGAATGCTGTTGGCCTGTAGAACTCCTTGCCAGAGGAGGACTTTAATAGGGTTTAAAAATAACTAGATAAATTCAAGGAGGTTAGGTCCATCAATGGTTATTAGCCACGATGGGTAGGAATGGTGTCCCTAGCCTCTGTTTGTCAGTGTCTGGAAATGGATGACAGGAGATGGATCATGTGATGATTCCCTCTTCTGTTCTCTCCCTCTGGGGCATCTGGCATTGGCAGACAGGATACTGGGCTAGATAGACATTTGGTTTGACCCCATATGTTCTTAAGTTCTGTGTAAGTGAGTAAAGGCAATTGGGTATGATATGTGGCAGCAGTGGGGGGTCCCCAGACCAGCTTGTTAACATGTCTGGAGATGGAGCAGGAATCCTCCCTCAACATCTCCATAAAGTTCTCAGGTTATGTCTACACTAGCCCCCTAGTTCGATCTAGGGAGACTAATGTAGACATTCGAAGTTGCAAATGAAGCCCGGGATTTAAATATCCCGGGCTTTATTTGCATCTTCCCATCCGGGCGCCATTTTTAAATCCCCCTAGTCTTGACTAACTGAACGCGGCAGTCAAACGTTAACTCGAACTAAGTCCACCTCGTGGAATGAGGTGTAACAGTTACCTCGAACTAAGGACTTAGTTCGAGTTAACATTGACTGCCGCATGTAGCCGCAGGCAGTTAGTTCGGACTAGGGGGATTTAAAAATGGCGCCCGGACGGGAAGATGCAAATAAAGCCCGGGATATTTAAATCCCGGGCTTCATTTGCAACTTCAAATGCCTACATAAGCCTCCATAGTTCGAACTAGGGGACTAGTGTAGACATACCCTCATAGAGGAACTCTTTAATCCTTCTCACAAGGTTCCTGGGGAGGTTGCCTTATTACCTCCTCCACGGTAGAACACCTTTCCACACCAAGCCAGCAGGAAGTGGTCTGGCATTGTTGCAACACAAACCATTGCAACATAAGACCCCGGTTTCTGGCCACATTCCATCAGTATCTGCTCCCTATTACTTTGTGCTTCAGAGAAGACTGATCTCTCACATGGCAACTTGGATGAAGCCCAGGAAGCTATTAGCTGATATTTCTGGAGTAAACCTCTGTTTGCTCATCCAAAATGAAGCCTGGCTTGAACCCCTGCCCTGTCACCAAGCCTGGGCCCCCAGCCCACCCCTGCTCACTTGCTCCTGTGGGAAGGAAAAATTGCATTCTGCGGGCAAACTGAGAGGGTGTGCGTGTGCTGAATGAGTCCCTGCCCTGCCTGGCTGCCATGCCTGGGCCCTCTCCCTCCTTCCACCCACCTGCTCCTGTGGGAAGGGAAAGTTACACTCTCCCAGCAAACAGGGAGTGCCTCACACACAGGTGCCACATGAGCCCTTGCTCTGCCACCACGCTCAGCCCCTGCCCTGTCATAGGTTTGAGCCTCGGCCTGCCCCTGACCATTCTTGCCTCCAACCTGAGTACAGCTGCTCTCCTAAGAACTCTATGATGTACCTGTTGCATAGTGGCCATTAACAAGAATAACTGTAGCCTTGTACATAACACATCCCTATTGTCTTGAGACAGACCTTCCTTCTATTCTAACAGACTAGGCTTTATGCTCTGCAGCAGTGGTTCCCAACCTTTTTGATATCACAGACCAGCAAACCCATTCTTTTGGTGGACTGGTAACCTTTTATTTGCATATTTGCTTATTCATTGTGCAAATAATGAATATGCAAATGTGAAAATACAATGTTACTGGTCCACCAAAAGGCCTGGCCCCCCAGAGCCACTACATACAGCCGGCTTCAGCTCCCACAGTTGCCATGTGGTGAGTGGCTGCCACAGCTATAACCAACTGTTGGTGGTGGCTTTGGGGGCTGGGGCCAAGCCCAATGTCAGTCCTAATCCCTAAAGCACCTCACCCCTCCACTACCCCCCAGCACCAGCTACTGACCCTGGAGTCCCCTGCACCCTATCCCCCCAGTGCCAGTCTCTTGCCCTCAGAGCCCACAATGCCAGCCCCCATCCCAAATGCCCCAGTGCCAGTTCCCCACCCCCACCAGACCCACCAGTGCCAACCTTCTGTTTCCAGAGCCCCATAGCACCCAACCCCCCAGAGCCAGCCCCCAGTCCCCAATATTAGCCCCATCCCCAGCATTCCCCAGTGCCAGCCCTACCCCCATAGCCCCTCCACTACTAGCCCTGCCCCAGTGCCTCCCAGTGTCAGCCCCCAACCCGTTAGAGCTACCTAGTACTAGCCCTGCCTCCAGAGCCTCCCAGTATTAGCTTTGCCCCCAGAGCTCCCCAGTGCCACCCCACACCTCTTAGAG